ATTTACAACTCGTTGGTTTACTTTCATCTCTGTCGTGATTGCGTCGTTCGATTTGCTGTGAGTATATCCACTCCATCGTCTCGACGGTGTTCATTCCTTGATTCGGGACATTTGTAAATTGTTGCCTGGAAACTTATCGCTGCGGATCACTAATTGCTTGTTGACCGGCTAGAATCAGTTTTTTCGTATCAAGCATTTTAACAGCTTTTATTGGAGTTCTCTGCTGATTATCTTCTGCGGCGGCACTGATCATTATAGGCGCCGATTAGAGCGAAATTGCATTTGCAAATGGTTCCTTAAGTGTGCTGACGGGTTTATCTTCGACGATAGCATGCGTCAGTGCTAACCGCGGAGGCAGAAATAAAGACCAGAATGCGCTGTAGAATGGCTAGGTTTCGTAGTCTCTGAATCCGTTGTTAGACCGCTCACATTGTTCTCAAAGGTCGCAGTCAATTTACGACCTATCGCTGGCAAAGACATCGTCTGTCATAGCAACGCTTCGAGTCATAACATGTGAAGAGAAGAACAGCTCGGTTGGTTCTCTGTCTCTTTTGTTTTGCTGTCCATTTCCTTTGGATGTTGAGAAGTAACTCCGTCCAGTTTCTCCATGCGTTTTAATTTATTGCTTGTCGTACCGTCGCTAGTTTTGCTGTTCTGATTCGATAACTTTGAACTAATTCTGCCGACTCTTAGGTCGATTGAGCAGCATTCAGTATGGCATTGAGAATTATCATCGCAGCGGTTGGATTCTGGTAATCGAAAATCGCCCTTTCTCCTTACTGTTTAGTTACTTTTTTGGAGATATCTATTTCTTAGAAGTTGGTGAAGCCTTGTTACACTAGGCGTGCGTTGTTCTCACTGACCTCACTTCGCCTACCACGTCTTGCTTTGCTTGGGCATCTGGGAAATCGATGTAACTGAGAGTTCTTTATTTCTGGAGGAAAGTGCCGTTCAGTATTTTTATAGCCACCAGTTTTGTGGCTGTGCGCTTTCCCCACTTGTCCTTTCTTTTCATGCCGTTCATTTCCTTCTTTTTGACCCCTAGCTTTGCATTTATAGATCCATATATTTCGTGACATTGATTTGGGTCGTGGGTTGTAATTGTGCCAGCGTTGATCGCTTAGTGACGAATGCCAGCCAATCGGCTTTGAAGTTGGCAATTCGCCCGCTCGCAGCCGAATCGCGTCAGTCTGCGTGTCTTGCCGTCAGCGCAGTGACTAGTCATCGCTGTCCGGTTTCCATTTTGCTACCATGCACGTTTCAATCCCCACTTGTGCACTCTTGTTTCGCTCGTTGAGCCTTTTGATCGTTTGTGCGTAGACTTCTGCACCTGAAAACACGCCGTGTATGTGGTTTGGTATTGATTAGAATGGCTTGTGGGTGGCGGTAATGGTATTGTTTGCAGTGAATCATCCGCAGCATCCGAATTTCGTCACGTCTAATTGAAATAATTTTGAATGGAATTCGCTTATAACGAACAATATCAATGGGTCTTGTGGGGTTTACTGTTATAGGAACGTCAGGGTTTTTTTTTTTTTTTCGCCTAAGCGACTTTGTAGATGTCAGAAGTTGTTTAGAGATAGCGAAGTGTAAAGTATGGCTCGTTGTTTCTGCGCGATCTGATTAAAGGTCATCGAATTTTGTTCTCGAAGTCATTCGTGATTCGTTCTTCTTTGAGCCCTAGCGGACTGGAATTGCTCCCTAGCAAAGTAGGATTCCCTTTTTGTGGTTAGCAAATTGAAGCTGTAACGGTGTCAAATATACTCATTCGTGATTTTGTGGACTGGGGATAAGTCAAAATATCTTTAGGTTACAGCGATTCGACGATTGACCCAAACTTTGTACTTTGAACGTTAAACTATTTTTACACTTTTTTCATTATTACTTGTTTACTTTTCGCCTTTCGTTTTCGTCTAGCATCGAATTCTCTAAATACATCTTGGTACAACTATGTTGTGCAGGGTATTTGATTGACGGAATCTGGCCGGCAGATCGCTCTTATGACGCCCGCTCGTTTGCTCCTCACTGTTGCTGTCCAGAGATTAATTGTAAATTGGGCGACCCAGGTTACGCTGCGCCATGGTGTGGCCTGTTTGAGGGATTGCGGAGACGAAAAATACGTGTTCTGGTTAGATAGCATCTGTTTGGAACGGTTCTTGGTGCAATCCCGTCACGCTTTGTTATTTGGGATGCAGAAGTAGTAGTTTCGGTGGGAAGGCTTCTGTTTCCATACAGTTAATATTCTATTTACAATGGTCGTTTTTTTTTGAAAAAATGTTTTTCTGACCTTGGTGTTATGTTCTGTTTTTCTTTTGTACTTATGTTTTCAACTCTAGTTCGTGTTTTCAACGAGGAAGCAGATTCGCCGCGCGTAATGCTTCTGTTGATTTGGCGGTTCGTGGTTTTTTGTTGACGCAGCACATGTTTCACGTACTGCGCTCTCTTGGGAGCGTTATTTATCCTACGTTCTGTGAACCTTCGGTAAAGATTGCTATCAAACTATCCTTATTTCTCTAGACGACTGGTCTTACATACGAGGACGTAATCCATATGCTCTTTGTCAGGAAAATTTCTATTTGTTTGGCCTTGAGATTGAACGCGTCATAGCTGTTTGCACGTACGATTTCGTTGCGTACGCTGTCGCTAAAGTTGCCATTTGTACTCAGGAATCATCATAAGCTATTTTTGCAGGTAAACAGCCTTCATCATGTCCACTCGTAAGACGAAGACAACTCGCTCTTCAGGACCTATTAGAACTGAGGTCAGCTTCAGCACCACCTCCTCATCGAATGCTGGCGATGATTCCTTGTAAGTATTGTTCAATGTGAGTGTAATATTTCCTCTGGCCTGGTTTCTATTTAATTAATTCCAGCTCGTCGCTTCTTGAAAACACCAGAACGCAAGAAAAAGAACAGCTCACAGGGCTCAACAGTCGTCTTGCCACTTATATTGATGTGGGTTTCCTTAACGAAGTTGAATTGTTGGGTCGGTGTCAGCTGCGGTTAAGAGTGGGATCAATGGAAACTTTTTGTTACAGAAAGTGCGTCAGTTAGAGGCCGAGAACAGCCGTCTCACCGTGCAGATCAAGGACATCGAAATAATCGAGAAGAAGGAAAGAAATAACCTCGCTGAACGCTTTGAAGCCGAGCGTGTATGTTTTTAGTCAACTTTAACCCTCTCCTTTTTAAGGGCCAGTTTTAGATTCTTCAGGGGAGAGTTGAATGGGTTATTATACATCAAGCAGTCGAGAAAAACATCGGGATCTTTGTAGAAGATTACGGAAGCCATTTCAAATTCGCGTCTAACCCAGCCCATTTGAAAACATGTGTCTTGTCGTTTGTTGTAGGGAAGACAGCCAGCACCACAGCAATGAACAACATCATTAAGTTGCGAGACCTATCTGTCATTGTAATAGGTTGTTCCCTAGCTCGGGGAATCAACTTGCGCACGAGTCAATGCTGCACTTTAAGCAGTCCTTGATAGAAGCATGTTGATACGAAAGAAGTTAGAAAATTAAAAGGAGCACAAAATTTGCTTTGTCGTGTTGTTTTTTTTTCATGTGCCAAGGGGCCAGGTGAGTGGAATCGCTCATATTTCTTACCATGTGCTGGAATGGTTTTTTGCCCAAATTGTTCGGACTTCCATATTTCGGGATTCATTGGCGTAGAATTTGCGAGAAAGGGTGGGACTGATTTTTATGGTGGCTAGCTTACGGTATTCATTGGAACTTTCGGTGGCTACTTCCCGTCCGGAGTGGAGTTCAGAAGTGTGCTGTGTTTTGTGAGAGCTGGTGAAAAAAGTCACTTCAGAGTGCAGAAAATGGAACGCCTTGTAAAAGGTTCCGAATGTGCTC